CATCACCAATTGCCTACTAATTCGACTGTTTTCAACATTTCCCTATGATATATATTGTTCTTTAAATTAACCCAAATAAATTGTGACTCCTCTGAAGGAATATTTTTTGAGGTGATATTTGTTCTGACTCCAGCTGTCTTATTCACAATTTCTCTCATGTAAACTAGCCATACTATAGTCTAAACTCAATCTTCATTAGATTCATGAATCTCCTTCCAATTTTTCTTTTGCCACAATTGTCACTGTTCTTGAAGGTGTCAGTAGAATTACACTGTTCTATGTTGTGTTGCAAATGCAATCAATTCCTTTAGGGAAAAAAAATCAAGAAGTACTTGTTTTATGGCCTGATTCTTCTTCTAGACAAAATCTCTGAGCCGAGGTTCTGGACCTGGGGGTAAAGATTATGGCAGTCATTTCTCTGGGTGACATTCTCACTCTAGGCTCTGAATAGTTAGTGGAGAGAGGTTAGTAGCCTGCTGGTATTCTCATCTTGCCTCCCCTGGCATGCCTCCACTGACTCAAAAATGGGAAGGACCATCCGGGCCCCAGTATCATCATTATGCCATGCCCAGTGTTGAACCTCTATTCTATTAGTGAGGATTCATCAGAAGAAAGGAGCCCTACCTCTCATTCACACTCCCCAAGGACCCAGCCTCAACAACAGGTAGCAGCAAATGAGAAATGCTGACATTGTCCTTCCTCAAGGAATGAAGCCCTCTGGCTGGGAGCTGGGTAAAGAAGGAATGGTGCATTCTTGGCTGCAATAATCTGGAGTAGAGTCTCTGCCTTACTGGGTAGGCAGATGAGAGAGAAGGAGTAGTCTTGGTTCAAAGTAACAGATGCTTGCCTTTCTTAAAGTATTTCCTTAGACTTTCTTAAATAAATGTGTTTTTTTAATTTCTTTTTTCTTTTTTCCTTTATTTCTTTTAGAATAAATAACAGAAGCCTTAAGTGGTTGTTTTTTTATAATTTTCACAATTTTCACTGGGTTATGGAATAGTGGAACTCCTAATGTGGGGCTGGAAATCGATTTTCATTTTATTATCTTATCTCATTAATTTTACTTACCACTATTATACTATTTATAAATATATATATATATACATATATTTAGCACCTAAATATGCTACATATGTTCTAATATTTTGAATAGTATAATTTATTTTGCTTATTATGTGTCTATCACCCTCAGACACCAAAATATAAGCTCCATGAGCCTCAAATTAAAAACCTAGTCTCAGAAAACTTCCTGAGACTCAAGAGAAGGCTTGCATCCATGAAACAAAAACAGAATACAATAAAACAAGAAATATTGAAGAATAATAAAAAGCTCTTAAAAATTCAATACACAAAATCAAAACTTAAAATTATCTTGAAAAGGAGGGAGGGGCAAGATGGCGGAAGAGCAGGGTCCCCAAATCACCTGTCCCCACCAAATTACCTAGATAACCTTCAAATCATCCTGAAAATCTACGAATTCGGCCTGAGATTTAAAGAGAGACCAGCTGGAATGCTACAGTGAGAAGAGTTCACGCTTCTATCAAGGTAGGAAGACGGGGAAAAAGAAATAAAGGAACAAAAGGCCTCCGAGGGGGAGGGGCCCCGCGAGGAGCCGGGCTGAGGCCGGGGCGAGTGTCCCCAGGACAGGAGAGCCCCGTCCCGGAGGAGCAGGAGCTGCACCAACCTTCCCGGGCGGGCGGAAAGGGGCTCGCAGGGAGTTGGAGCAGGACCCAGGAGAGCGGGGATGCCCTCAGGCTCCCGGGGACACTAACAGACACCTGCGAGCGCAGGAGAGTGCGCCGAGCTCCCTAAGGGCTGCAGCGCGCACGGCGGGACCGACCGGAGCAGCTCGGAGGGGCTCGGGAGCGGCTCCAGGGAGGGAGCTGCAGGGCGGGAGCGCGAATCCAACAGCGCAGGCCCCGGAGCACAGGGCGCCGGGACACAGCCCAGGATCCGGCCTCCCCCGGGACAGGCAGAGGCCGGGAGGGCCCGAGACAGCGAGGACGCTCCTGCCCCGAGCTGAGCAGATCAGCGGCCCCGCCCCGGAGCCTCCAGGCCCTGCGGACGGAGAGCCGAGAGCCCCGAGCCCCATAGTTCCTGCGGAGGCTGAATCCAGGCTTCCAGAGTTGCCATAGCAACTGCTGCTGTTCCTCCTGGGGCCTGGCGGGGTAAACAACCCCCGCAGAGCCCTGCAGCAGGCAGGGGCAGAGCAGCTCCCCCAAGTGCTAACACCTGAAAATCAACGCAACAGGCCCCTCCCCCAGAAGACCAGCTAGAGGGGCCAGTGATACTCCCCCGTGTTCCAATACAACTTGTTTCTGGCCACTCTGCACTGAGCAAAATGACTAGAAGGAAAACCTCAACTCAAAAGAAAGAATCAGAAACAGCCCTCTCTCCCACAGAGTTACAAAATCTGGATTACACTTCAATGTCAGAAAGCCAATTCAGAAGCACTATTCTACAGCTACTGGTGGCTCTAGAAAAAAGCATTAAGGCCTCACGAGACTTCATGACTGCAGAATTTAGATCCAATCAGGCAGAAATTAAAAATCAATTGAATGAGATGCAATCCAAACTAGAAGTCCTAACGACGAGGGTTAACGAGGTGGAAGAACGAGTGAGTGACATAGAAGACAAGTTAATGGCAAAGAGGGAAACTGAGGAAAAAAGAGATAAACAATTGAAGGACCATGAAGACAGATTAAGGCAAATAAACGACAGCCTGAGGCAGAAAAACCTACGTTTAATTGGGGTTCCCGAGGGCGCCGAAAGGGACAGAGGGCCAGAATATGTATTTGAACAAATCCTAGCTGAAAACTTTCCCAATCTGGGAAGGGAAACAGGCATTCAGATCCAGGAAATAGAGAGATCCCCCCCTAAAATCAATAAAAACCGTTCAACACCTCGACATCTAATAGTGAAGCTTGCAAATTCCAAAGATAAAGAGAAGATCCTTAAAGCAGCAAGAGACAAGAAGTCCCTGACTTTCATGGGGAGGAATATTAGGGTAACAGCAGACCTCTCCACAGAGACGTGGCAGGCCAGAAAGGGCTGGCAGGATATATTCAGGGTCCTAAATGAGAAGAACATGCAACCAAGAATACTTTATCCAGCAAGGCTCTCATTCAAAATGGAAGGAGAGATAAAGAGCTTCCAAGACAGGCAGGAACTGAAAGAATATGTGACCTCCAAACCAGCTCTGCAAGAAATTTTAAGGGGGACTCTTAAAACTCCCCTTTAAGAAGAAGTTCAAGTAACTCTGAACGTGAATGGGCTTAATGACCCCATCAAAAGGCGCAGAGTTTCAGACTGGATAAAAAAACAGGACCCATCTATTTGCTGTCTACAAGAGACTCATTTTAGACAGAAGGACACCTACAACCTGAAAATAAAAGGTTGGAGAACCATTTACCATTCAAATGGTTCTCAAAATATACCCTAAAAACTACAGAACACTTCTGAAAGAAATTGAGGAAGACACAAAGAGATGGAAAAATATTCCATGCTCATGGATTGGCAGAATTAATATTGTGAAAATGTCAATGTTACCCAGGGCAATTTACACGTATAATGCAATCCCTATCAAAATACCATGGACTTTCTTCAGAGACTTAGAACAAATTATTTTAAGATTTGTGTGGAATCAGAAAAGACCCCAAACAGCCAGGGGAATTTTAAAAAAAGAAAACCATATCTGGGGGCATCGCAATGCCAGATTTCAGGTTGTACTACAAAGCTGTGTTCATCAAGGCAGTGTGGTACTGGCACAAAAACAGACATATAGATCAATGGAACAGAACAGAGAACCCAGAAGTGGACCCTGAACTTTATGCTCAACTAATATGCGATAAAGGAGGAAAGACGATCCACTAGAAGAAAGACAGTCTCTTCAATAAATGGTGCTGGGAAAATTGGACATCCACATGCAGAAGAATGAAACTGGACCACTCTCTTGCACCATACACAAAGATAAACTCAAAATAGATGAAAGATCTAAATGTGAGACAAGATTCCATCAAAATCCCAGAGGAGAACTCAGGCAACACCCTTTTTGAACTTGGCCACAGTAACCGGAGAAGGACAAACGGTGTATGTTCTCATTCATTTGGGGAATATGAATAATAGCGAAAGGGAATATAAGGGAAGGGAGAAGAAATGTGTGAGAAATATCAGAAAGGGAGACAGAACATAAAGACTTCTAACTCTGGGAAATGAACTAGGGGTGGTGGAGGGGGAGGAGGGTGGGGGGTGGGGGTGAATGGGTGACGGGCACTGGGGGGTACACTTGACGGGATGAGCACTGGGTGTTATTCTGTATGTTGGTAAATTGAACACCAATAAAAATTAATTTATAAAAAAAAATTATCTTGAAAACATTAGTTCAAAAAGATATATGCTCTCCAGTGTTTATTTCAACAGTATTTATAATAGCCAAGATATGGAAACAACCCAAGTGTCCATCAATAGATGAATGAATAGATAGGGGGCACCTGGATGGCTCAGTGGTTCAGTGTCTGTCTTTGGTTAAGGTCATGATCCTGGGGTGTCTGAGTGACTCAGTCAGTTAAGCATCTGACTTTTGATTTCAGTTCAAGTCATAATCTCATGGTCATGAGATCAAGCACCATATACAGCTCCATGCTGGGCATGGAGCCTGCTTAAGATTCTCTTTTTCTGCTCCTTCCCCTGCTCCCTTAGAAAGAAGGAAAGAAGAAAGAGAGAAAGAGAAAGAAAGAAAGAAAGAAAGAAAAAAGAAAGAAAGAAAGAAAGAAAGAAAGAAAGAAAGAAAGAAAGAGAAAAGAAAGAGAGAGAAAGAAAGAAAAGAAAGAGAGAGAAAGAAAGAAGAAAGAAGAAAGAAAGAAAGAAAGAAAGAAAGAAAGAAAGAAAAGAGAGAGAAAGAAAGAAAGAAAGAAAGAAGAAAGAAAGAAAGAAAAGAAAGAAAGAAAGAAAGAAAGAAAGAAAGAAAGAAAGAAAGAAAGAAATCCAAACCAATGTACATCATGCTCACTTGGCAGCACATACACTAAAATTGGAATGACACAGAGATTAGCATGGCCCCTGCATTAAAATGACATACAAACCAATGTACACCATCATAAAACTTCATTATATCAAGGATAAAAAGAAGTTCTAAAATCTTACAGAGAGAGGAAATATATGCAGAAAAATATTCACAGCCTTAAATCACAAATGAAATATCATCAGACTTCTCAATAGCACTATTGGAAGTTGAATGGCATTAGAACAGGCCTTCAAGATTTTGAGTGAAATTGGTTTTAGACTAAAATTATATAACTACTAACCTAACACATGTGAGGGGGAAAAGAACAATATCTTCACATATAAATAAATCTAAAAACAAATGAGTGAACTAACTAAATAAATAAAATTTCCATTCCTACTTTTTTGGAAAGGTTTCTGGAAATGTGTCCCAACAAAACAAAAAATGATATTAAGAAAGTGAATGAATGTGTTCATCTGATAAAAAAGAACAGTAAGAGAGAGTCCAAAAATGATAAAAATCACACTGGTGCAGTTAAGCGTCTGACTCTTGGTTTCTGCTTAGGTCCTGATCTCAGGATCATGAGATCAAGCCCCAAGTCAGTCTCCATGCTCAGCAGGGAGTTTGCTTGAGATTCTCCTGCCATTTACACACACACACACTCTCTCAAATAAATGATAAATAAATAAATAATCTTAAAAACAAAAACATGTTACCAGTATGACAGCTGTGCTATGAGAAAAAAACAGTCTAAATTGTAAAAGGAGGATTGTAATTTCTCTGAGGGAAGTCTTTAGGAGGAAATTGGAGTTGCAACATTTTCAGGTAAGATTGACCATGTGGAAAGTTTTATAAAATTATGATAAACAGAAAAAGAAAAGCATAAGTATGTGCATCTGATGGACTATTATTGAAAATACACAAAGAACTCTGAAAACTCAATAAAGAAAACAATGAAAAAGTGGGCTGAAGATCTTAAAAGACATCTCAAAAGAGAAAATATACAGATGGCAAATAAGCATATGAAATGGTGCTCCATAGTATATGTCATCAGAGAAATGCAAATTAAAACAACAATTAGAAACCACTGCACACCTATTAGAAGGAACAAAAATCAGAAAATTGACAGCATCACATGCTGTTGAGAAAGTAGAGCAGCAGGAGTTCTAATTCATTGCTGGTGAAAATGCAAAATGAAATAGCTACTAGGGGGAAACTTTGGAAGTTTGCTACAAAATTAAACATATTCTTACCATATGATACAGCAATTGTACTTCTTGATATTTACCCAAAGGTGTTGGAAACTTATGTCACAATGAAGACAAAACAAAATGAAACCTGCACACATATAGCAGCTTTATTCATAATTGTCAAAACTTGGATGTCCTTGAGTAGGTGAGTGGATAAATACATTCTGGTATGTGCAGACAGTATTCTATTCAGAGCTTGGATGAAATGAGCTATGGAGCCATGAAGAAACATGGAAGAAACTTAAATGTGTATTACTAAGTGAAAGAAGTCAATCTGAGAAAGCTGCATGCTGTATGATTCCAACCCTGACATTTCTGGAAAAGGCAAAACCATGGAGACAGGAAGAAGATCAGAAATTGCCAAAGGTTGGGGTGGTGGGAAGGTACAATTATGTAGAGCACAGAAGGATTTTAGTATGATACCATGCAGGACACGCGTCATCATACCTTTATCCAAACCCATAGAATGTCTAACACCATGAATAAACTGTGATGTAAACTACGGACCTAGAGTGATTATGATGTGCCAATCAAAGCAGTTTAATCAACTGTAAATAAGGTACCATTCTGGTGGGGGATATTAATAATGGGAAGGGTTATTCATGAGTTGGGGCAAGAAGTATATGGAAACTCTTGGCACATTCCTTTCAGTTTTGATGTGAACCTAAAACTGCTCTTAAAACAAAGTCTTAATAATCTGCTAATTGTTAACTGGACGATAATATTAGAAAAAATGTCACTAATTTGGTCATTCTAAAAACTTTTTTTTTAAAGATTTTATTTATTTATTCTCGAGGGACACAGAGAGAGAGAGAGAGAGAGAGAGAGAGATGCGCAGCAGAGACACAGGCAGAGGGAGAAGCAGGCCCCATGCAGGGAGCCTGATGTGGGACTTGATCCCCGGGACTCCAGGACCACGCCCCAGACCGAAGGCACGTGCTAAACCGCTGAGCCACCCAGGGATCCCCCTAACAACTTAAGAAAGTCTTAAAAACAGTCTGAATCTGAACATAACTAATCTCTCTGGATTTGTGAATGAATGCAATATATTTTGCTTTAAAAACTTAGACACTAAAAAAGTGAAAATAAAAAAATAAAAAGAAACTTAGACACTTAGAGAAGTGTGTATTGTTTTCCAAAAAAAAAAAATGACTTGCAAAACAGTCAATAACCCGGCCTCCCCCACTCTTTCACCCACTTCTCTAAGCTCTAGCCATGCATAACTTGCCTCCATTTCTCAAACGTGTCATGATATCTCATTCTTTGGACTTCACACATACCATTTAAACTTGTCTGTAGTTGGAGAGGATGAGGAGAAAAGGGAACCCTCTTACACTGTTGGTGGGAATGTGAACTGGTGCAGCCGCTCTGGAAAACTGTGTGGAGGTTCCTCAAAGAATTAAAAATAGACCTGCCCTACGACCCAGCAATTGCACTGTTAGGGATTTACCCCAAAGATTCAGATGCAATGAAACGCCGGGACACCTGCACCCCGATGTTTCTAGCAGCCATGTCCACAATAGCCAAACTGTGGAAGGAGCCTCGGTGCCCATCGAAAGATGAATGGATAAAGAAGATGTGGTCTATGTACACAATGGAATATTACTCAGCCATTAGAAACGACAAATACCCACCATTTGCTTCAACGTGGATGGAACTGGAGGGTATTATGCTGAGTGAAGTAAGTCAATCGGAGAAGGACAAACAGTGTATGTTCTCACTCATTTGGGGAATATGAATAATAGTGAAGGGGAATATAAGGGAAGGGAGAAGAAATGTGTGGGAGATATCAGAAAGGGAGACAGAACATGAAGACTTCTAACTCTGGGAAATGAACTAGGGGTGGTGGAGGGGGAGGAGGGCGGGGGGTGGGGGTGAATGGGTGACGGGCACTGGGGGGGGCACTTGACGGGATGAGCACTGGGTGTTATTCTGTATGTTGGTAAATTGAACACCAATAAAAATTAATTTATTAAGAAATAAAATAAAAATAAACTTGTCTGTAGTGTTTATGTCACTCCTCCTCCATATGTTCCCATCATTTGTACTTGAATAGCTGCTACTTATTCTTGAGATCTTGGCTTAGAGATCTCTTTCTCCCTGAGATGTCTGTTGTATGCTTCCATAATAACTTATCTTAATCATTTATTCTTAGATAATTATTCTTTGATTTTCTATCCTCTCCATTAAAATCTTAGACTGATAAGTGTACAGTTTTTCACACATTGCCTGGCACATAGTAGGTGCTCAGTAAGTAGTTACTAAGTATATGAATAAGTCTGTGAATGAGACATAGCACTTTTTTTGCACTAGGAGGTTAGCCAATGAACTGGGGATTTGGTTAATAAGTATTTATTATATACCAATAATTTGCAAAGCCTGGAAATATAATGGATAAAAAAATAATTTTCAAAAGCTTTTTTTTTCAAGAAGTTTTTATTATAGTGGTGGGGGGTGGAGAATAGAAATTACTCTTAAAGATTTAAAAATTCAAGTGTAATTTGAGTCAGGACCAGCTACTTCAAGGTTCTATATTTTCCATTTCTTTTCTTTTTTTCTTTTCTTTTCTTATTTCTTTTCTTATTTTCTTTTCTTTTCTTTCTTTCTTTCTTTCTTTCTTTCTTTCTTTCTTTCTTTCTTTCTTTCTTTTTTTTTTAGAGAGAGTAGGAAGAGGTAAGGGGCAGAGGGAGAAAGAGAATCTTGAGCAGGCTCCACACTCAGCATGGAGCTTAACACAGGGCTCAATCTCGCAACACTGAGATCCTGATCTCAGCTGATATCCAGAGTCAGATGCTTAACTGACTGAACTATCAGGTGCCCCAAATGTCCTTTATCAATAGCAGCAGCATCCTAAATATGAGACCCCTATACAGTTGTCTTAAATTAGGAGAGTAGAACTACTCTGAAATTAATATGTAAATTTATTTAGGATAAATGACTTAGCATCTGTGCATTCCATTGGAAGATAAAAAGTCTACCCTAGTAGAAAATAAATAAATAAAGAGCCAACATCCTAGTAGAAATATGTAATATTTAAATGTTCCTTAAATTTTGAGAGTTGTAAGAAAGGTCTGAAGCACCACAAAGCTGGCCTTCTGGGTAAGTTCCTCTGAAAAGATAAGCTGATACACAAACACCTTTTTGGCCTTTGTCTTTGTCAGAATAAACTTCCTTCCTAGACAGATGGCAGGTTACTAAATGTCAGCTTAGCTTTGAGGCAGATTAATTCATATGGTGTCAACGTAAATAGCTGTTGACTTGTGGAAACCCAAATAATTCCAAGATAAAACCCAAAAATTTTATTATAGGCAATTTTGCTTTCAGATCATATTTCCTGTGTTATTTTTGCACTGTGTTTTTTTTTGTTATTACTACCAGTATTTGCATGTAAACAGGATCTCTGTTGCTTAGCAATTCATTATTTCTGTTGTTTCTTTCTAAACTGAAATTGGTTTAGTTCTCTAGGAGGGAAGAGAGCTGTTTGACTTCTCCCTCATGTACAAAATGTATTCCATTTTCAGATTTGAACATAAGTCTGTTTCTGGAACAATTCACTCAAATGTTCTTCAGACTTACATTTGTATTCCAATTCTCACTAGAAAGGAGTTGAAAAGATCACTATGTTTGGTTACTTTTACTTTCTGCCTCATTTTATTTGTGATTACTCTTTCCTCTCCACTTTCTCTTTTGCTTCTCTACTGGATCCTCTTCCAAAAACTTCAGAAATCAGATTTGATATGAATGCCTGAAATTGAATTTAAAAAAAAAGAAAGGTCAAGAATGTTAGAATACTCCCTTAATGAAATGCTATAAGGCTAATTAAGGAGGAGAGATACTAACAAATTCAATGT